CTCTTTTTATTGTATTTTTTGATTTTCCTAATCAAGCCAAGAATCATACGAGATTACTTAAATTATTATGAAAACGTATGCATTGTTTTTATCTTTCTGAGTTATACATTATTCTTAACAAATTCTTCATATTTTATATTAGTATTATATATTTTATATTCGTAATAAACAAACACTTTTTATATGTTAGAAATAAGTTTTTAACTTCTTTATAGTTTAAGATAGTAAAATTATTAACATTTTTTTAATATATTGAATAAAATGATAATTAAAGATTAATTAATATTTTTATTTGGGAATTGTAATTGAGAAATAAAGAGGAAATAAAATAGTAGTAATAAAAGGAAATACAAATTTTGAAATAAATATGAAGGAAGGAATATCAGAATGAAAGATTGAAAGAATAAGTGGAAAGTAGGTCGCGGGCTAATTTGGTATCATAGTTTAGTGCTAAAGTAAGCGATTTTTTACTCTTTCTTTTCTGTTTCGACCTGTATTTTTAATTTAAAAAGGACGAAATCCTCGCTGACAATTTCTTCTATGATCAAGCCGAGTAAGCGAATTTATTCCATTTCATAATTAAACTGAAATTAAAGCAAGCTTTGAAATAAAAATGACAAACGGTGCGTTTATAGTACTTACCTGCATAACAATTCGTCTCGAATCTCGATGTCGACTTTTGTTTCCATTATAACTTGTACTTCTATTATAATATTACAAAGAAAGATTACAAGTGTCAATATTCTTTTAGCGTAAATTGTTATAAAAGAAAAACTAATTTTTGCAGTCCATTTTCTTGTAATTAAAAAAATTTTTTAAATGCTTTTCTTTTTTCTTTCTTAGTTATAGTTTATATATTTTCTGATTGTCTTGATTTTAGTATAAATTTGTCATTATTTTTATATTATTAAGCAAAATTTATTTATTTTTATATTAAGAACTTTTCATATTCTTTCAATTAAAAAAAAAATTAAATAATCAACGGAATACTATAGCAATTAAATCTAGGAGAAACAGTAAATTTTTACGATAGCAGGGTTGAAGAATTTATTGTCTTAATTTTGATTTCTATATAAATAAGGAAATGCATTTTACAATCAGCGATTGACAGATAAACGAACGAACTTTTTATAGAATAACTTCATAAATTATTTATAATAATGTAATATGATCTTCTATTATCCGTCACAAATATATTTTTATAATTAAGATGAAATATTATACTTTGAAATATATCGTTCGAAATATATCGACTACCTTTTTAATTATTTCAACTTTAAATGGTTAGTATATTTATTGTTGTTTCTTGCAATTTATACAAGAACAATTGTCCGTATAAATTATTATAAGTTAAAAAAAAAACTTGTTCTGGTTTTGGTTTACTTAGACTTCTATTTCCATTACTCAGTTATATGTTACATGTAATAATCGTGTACATATTAGTTTACTGGTAGCTTAAGAAATTATGTCTTCAATATTTTTAAAACAATTACTCACTTATTTTCATTTGAAAACACTATGTAATTACTACTGTAATACATATCGTATTCAATAGCAGTTTTAATAAATATTATTTTAATTCAAAGGTTAAAAACTTATTTAATATTTCTTAATGCTCACTTCTTTATTGTAAAAATAAGGCTGCTAACATTTTTTAACATTCATTGCTCAATCTTGCTTGAAATTCAAATCATACATGCTTAGGAGAATTCATAATAACAGCAAAAATCATTCCATATCATAATATTTCAGTGTAAATAAATTCAGTTAAGTGGTCCAAAGTCAGTACTTACACGGTGTGTGGTTATTCAGTACGAACCAGAACTGGTCGTCATTCCTCTCAAGGACACCACCGTATTTGGTATATATAGTAAAATAAAACGCATGTATTGTACATTACGTACGACCTCATTTTATTTGGTGTTACATTGGAAGTGAATGTCGTCTCTGTTGTATGTCGTCAAAATCGTTTATTATGCTTATTGGCAAAAATAATGACTTAATATGTGTTCCCTTCTTCAAATGTTGTGGAAGTAAATGGAATATCTCAACGGAAACGTAAATGAAATTCGAAATTGTTGTGGTACCAAGGATTCTATTATTACTTTTCAGCATCCTTGTTGCAATGGGTATTAATTTCTTAAAATAGCATTTTTATTTTTGTTCCGTATATATTATCATTTTAAGATATATTCTTTTCTTCCATGCAATAGTTATTAATAATAATAAAATTATAATTTAATATAATGATATAATAATAATAATAATAATAAATAATATAGTAATAATAATTAGTATTATAGTGCTCATATTATATCAACTGATATTCATAAATAATCATTCTCTTAAACTCAAAAATAATATCTTTGTTCGTTGCATCTTTCTATAAGACTGTAAAACAAGAGTTTCAAGTTATGTTATAAAGAAAAAATATTGATAAAATATAAAAATTGACAAGAATTAATTATTGGTTTCCTTAATAATAAAAGTAACTGAATTTTGTTTACTATCAACTAATTAATTTATTGACAAAATTATAACATTTTCATCAAATAAAATGTTTTTTCTTTATAAAAAAAAAAAAAAAAAAAGTAAAAAAAAAGTAAAATATTTTTATAAATACGTAATACTTTTGAAAGTAGTATAATTTACTATTAGTACTGGGCGATAAAGTTAAATAATAAAATAATGATAATTTAAGTAAAATAGATTGTATAATTTAGAAATTATAAATGAAATGTTAAACAATTTTAGATATAATTAAGAAATTCAACAAATAATGATGTTATGATAAAATTGAAATGGCTTGGCATTATTAAATATTTTATTTTTTCTTAATAAAATTCTGTTAACGGTAAACAAATTATATACAAATAAGATTCTCAATAAAGCTATTATTTTATTTTTAGTAAGTAGAAAGAAAAAATGAAAAAACAAGCAAGTGATAGACGACAGAGACGAACAAAAACTTCCTGCTCCTTCACTACTTTGGAATACCAAGAGGGAACTGAAATGACTCATAGTACGCATTGAGAAAGAAACAGGCAAGGATCTCACACACCCATTCGTTGTATTTTTACACACTAATTCAGCCATTTACAATTAGGATATATGAGTACTATATATGTGCCTAACATTTCTAATAAATAACACATTGAGTTTCCATTATTTTTGTCTTTCTTATACTTGCGCTCCATACTATATGTGTTCTGTTCTGGTCTATTCGTTTTTGTTCTTCTTGTCTGGCGCTTCTAGAGTCTTTTTTGCCCTTTTAGTTTTTCTTAACTACATACGCATGCTTATGAGCTTTTTTACATTTTCCTCTCCCCGCCTGTCTCTCTCTCTCTCTCTTCCTCTTTCTCTTTACAAATAAACGTTACGTGTACACGACCGTACCCCCTTACCCAAAGTAAGTTGCTTTTTAAGCTAAGGATATCTTACTGCTCAATTAAATCAAGTGTTTTTTTTGCGTTCCTTAATAGTCTTGATGGTAAATCTTTTGTATTTTCAACACTATCGAACGGAATTTACATCCATTTCTAATTACAATGAAACGATCTTGTAATATTAATTTATTATCAAATTTTTTGTTGTTATTTCTTATTATATGTTACTTTTAAAACGAAGAATTTTTTGTTGATTTTAAAATTCTATTTCCACCGAAGAAAGTATAATTATAGAATATTATACTTTTAAAAAATTATTCAATGACAAAATTATCTATCATTTTATAAATAGTAATTCTAATGAAAAAAGAGTATTTTTATAATCATTTACGTACTAAATAGTACCTAAAATTTATAAGAATAATTGAAATAAATATTAGAAAAAAAACTTTAGCATTCGTATTATTAAGTAATGCTGTTGGATCTAAAATTTGTTTAAGCCTTCTGAAGTTTATTTTTGTTTTAATATGTACATCATGTACACAGTTGCAATGTGTATTGCATATGATTTCAAAATTAGTCTAAAAATTACCAACGATAAAGCGATTACAATTTTCATTATATCCTTTTATATTATATGTATCTTAAATTAACACTTAATTTTTATTAAATAAACAATAATAATATTAATAAATAAATATACTGTGCTCTGGGTCTTGTCTGTTCTTTTGTATTATCATTCAACCGAATACGCATTGACATATTCATTCTTTTTCACAAAAATATTTACAGGTATCCAAAACCTAAACATAATATTTTATCCATTTAGGCTTTGCTAGTTGACCACATAGACAATGAAAAGAAAAAATTTCTTTAAAAACTGTTTCGAATACGAAAGTAATATAATTCTGGAAAACACCATTATACATATATATATATATATATATATATATATATATATATATATATATATATACTTACTGATTTTTTTTTGTGTCATGGGTATAAA